TTTTTTTTTTTTTCTGAGTTTGTTTCTGACACCGTTTGGGTCTCTCTCTTTCTTTTTCTTTCTCTCTATCTCTCTGTGTGTGTGTCTCCTCCTTGACATTATCTCGTTGCGCTTATTTAACCAACAGTGGTTCTTCTTCACTTGTTTTTGTTTGATATTCATAGGGTGAAGGTGAGGTGAGAAATTAGAAAAGAAGTGCTTCTCCCTACACATTTGTAAAGTTTGGCACTGAATACTATTCGAATGTCACTATTGGTTTCACCTTTGATGTTAGTGTCTCTGCTTTACATTGGGGAGAATAGTCTCATGGGGGTTATCTCTGCTAATCACTAAATATGTTATGAAACACGTTAACGACAGTACTTCGGTGTAATTGTTATCTGAGTGTTTATGGTGTTATGCAGATCAAGTCAAAAGAAAAACATGGAATAGAGAGACCGTTTGACATCTAGTTGTCTAAAATGTCTATGAATGTACTGAAAGTCCTCAGAGGTACATATGCATGATAAATACTCTCTAGCCACCTCCACAACCCCGCCACTGTGGGATTACATAATTATAAAGAGTGGCATGCACTGTGCGGAATCTCCTCCCAACTGGACTGCGTTGTTTCTTCTCCATCGCACGTCTCTTTTGTTGTTCCGTTTTTCCTCTCGGGAAACACAGAAGTGATCTACAGGAGCTGTTTTGTTTCAATACATCTGAACCATGTGGTTCTATCCATTTTTACTATTCCTCTTGAGGAGCGTAGACAATAGCCACTTCCTTGTTTTATTATTATTATTATGTTGGTTGTTCTGGCGATTGGTGCATTTCACAAACAGATTGTATCTATTATTATGGTAACTGATAGGGTGGTTATTGAGAAAATCAAAGAAAAAAAAATCATTTGTTTCCAAAACATGAGAGCTTCATATTGGACTGTTCTGTTAAGGAATTACTGGTCTGTTGTATGGGCTGCGTTTCACGGTGACTGGTAAACTGAACAGTTTCCTTTCTCATTTATATGATTCTTCTTAATCAATGCAGGGAATTCTATGAAAGGATAAAACTCTTTACGGATTCTCGTGGTTATACGATGCAATGACGCACTTGTACACACACACACACACCAACAGAAGAAATAATAATAATAGTAATAATAAAAGAAACATGAAGAATAGAAAGAATTAACCCATTGGAGATGAATCTGGACCGCTATTGCGGTAAAATGCAATCAAAAAGAATACCGGGTCATCACATGCAAAGAGTTAATAGTGGGAAACGCATGTCATATTTAACAGTAGATTTCAGAATGATAATACCGTTTAGATTGGTGGGGCGAACCTGAAGTAGTTAAAAGTACGATAGAGGGAGAGGGGGAGAGAGAGAGAGAGGACAGAAAGTAAAAAAAAAAAAAGAAGAAACAGTACCAATAGATTAAGTACGGTGCAATTAAAAGGATAACTTGTGATCATCCCAAATTCAATTAAATATTCTTGTATCTTTAAGATTGTTTTTTTTTTTTTTTCCACAGTTTATCAGCGCCTTATTTATTTGTATATTGGTATTATTTCTAATAATATATATATATTTTTTTTTTTTTCATCTCTAATTCTCTCTATACTTTTGGATATATGTTTGTGGTTTCTTCTTCGTGGTGTTTGCGGATTATTTCTGTATCCCTCCTTGTGCCAGGGCACAGCGATGGTCGTCTAGTGGTTAGGACATTCGCCTCACACGCGAGAGATCGCGGGTTCGATCCCCGCCCGTCGTATGTTTTCTCTCCGTCATTTCTTTTTTGGGTTGCAAATGAAAAGAGGTAATATTGAGTTCTTAATTTTATTCTTATTTTTTATTTCTGTCGGAGTTGACCCCTCTATATTGGTTTCTTGATCTTTCTCTTGTGTGACGACACCTGTGAAAATAGTTACATGGTTGGAAAAAAGAATTTTTTTTTCTCCTTTTATAGTTCTGTTTTCAACTTGTTGAACAGATGGATGCTGGGTTTTTACTACTAATATTACTTTATTATTTGTGTACTTGTTCCAGTTAAAGATGATGATTGCTTTTGTTTTCTTGCTATTACTGGTTCCCTCTATCTGTATTTACAGTGTAGTTCACTTGTTGTGTGCTTTCTTTTCCCTCTTTTCCTTTCTCCACAGAATAGCCTCAAGCAATCCACCACTAATAAGTGATCAAGCAAACCAAGCAGCATGATGAAGCAGATGAACACGGAAGGAGTACAATCGATAGAGCTGCAGTCCTGTGAAGTGCAAGAAGAGTGCTGCGTGCGTAACGACACACACAACGTGATG